CTCGGCTTTGCCAGCGAGGCGCGCTGCCGCGGGTTTCCAGCCCCGCGACAGGCCGCGTCGCAGGTATCTTCTGAGCCGCACGCGGGGATGCGCTTATCTCCTTGGGGCTGCTGCTGCAGTCTTGGCTTTCGGATAGCTGGAGGAGCCCTGGGCGCCAAGCAGGTGGCGGGCTCTCCCCCAGGAGCGCTGGTACTAACCAGACTTTCAGGGCCGGGGAGGGGGGGAAACGCAAAGCAGCAGGTGATGATCCCGTTCGAATTCGTCCTGGAGTCCTGCAACGTTGTCCACACGGATACCGGCATGGCCTTTCCCCGTGCCTCAGCTTCCAGATCATAACGTGGAAGATGAAATCTCTTGTAACACTTTGTCTGTTGTTACCAAGTACTAATTAACCTGCCTTCCTTACTGCAGTTCCTCCGGCTCTCTGTGGCACTCTGCCTTCCCAGTGTCAGTGCAGTCGGGCCCTGCTTCCACCTGGCCTTGAGGGAGCTCCTGTGTCTCCAGGACTTTGAGTAAATAGTTGGGCACCAAAGGGCAAGGCCACTTCCATTCTCGCCTCCTAAAATGCTGGAATGTAGTTTCCACCAAGCTGGAGGGTTCATTTTTCAGAAGTGAATAGGCAGCTTCCAACTCAGTAGTAATGTTAGCAACTGCCAGCTGGAATAAACTTTTCTAGCTCACTCTGTTGGCTTGCTTTTGATCTGGCTTCAGTCCATAGAGTAAGTTTGTTTAATATGCACTAATGCAAATTTGAGGTTATTGGGTTAGCACTCTCTCATGCTGTTACAATAGGTCTGGGATGTCTTGTTCTTGCAAAGCTTGCCCAGAAGCTATGGGAGCGCAGAAGAGCTTTGCAGTGACTTCTCTTTCCTCATGTTCTCTGTTGTAGCTAAATGCAGCGCTGCAACTGAAGGTTGCTTCACCTTCAGGGGCCTGGAATGAACGCAGGAGCTCCTCCAGGCCTAGTGCGTTTGGGCTGGTTCCAGAGCAGTCCCAGCACAAAGGAACAAAGCCAAAATGTTTTTTCTGTTGTTGAGCCTTTTGCTCTCAAGGCGGGGGCTGCATGGTTGTTCTTAAGCATGTATTTATTAATGCTCTGGAGGCAGGCAGCCACTCAACAGCTTCTCAGATCCTCCAGATTCATGTGTGTGAAGCAAGCTTCTTTAGAAAGGCAGATTTGGTCCCAAAGAAAGAAGTCTATGCCCTCTGGTGGAAGCCTTAGGGGGGATCCGTCCAGCTCTGAGGGAAAGCAGGTCATCAGTCATGTCTGAGGAGATAATGTACGTGATACATTCTTGCTTTGATAGGCCCCTTGTCGCAGGCTCTTTTGCTCACTGAACTCCTCACTTTGCATCGCTGCAGTCTTTCCCTGGCTTTCCGGCAGCTGGGTACATCTGGTGCAGTAAGGTCCCGGTGCCCTCTTCTGACACCGTGCCCTGTGTGGGTAAAAGGAGTGTATGGCCCACACCTGCCAGGTCCTGCCTGCTTGGGGGATGGCTGCAGGCATCCTCCAAGCCTTCTTGTGCAAGCAAGGCTTAAGGAGGGCCTCAAAAGAGAGCCCATCTGGCCCAAGAGCATGGGTGCTGCGGGCCCACCCATCGTGGCCGTTATCTCCGCTCTGCAATTCTCTTGTGTGACCATCTCTTCCTTTCCCCGGAGAGCTTAGTCTCTGGAGCTGCAGCCCCTATCTGTCTCTTACAGAGCAATAGCAGTCAGTTGCCTCTGATCCCCCCCACCTCACCCGCGCCCCCCTCTTTCCTCCTGTGGGATTAACGGTGAAAACATTTTCTGGATTCTCGAGGTGCATTTTGCTCACTGAACTCTTTGTTTCCGTCAGCTGTGTGCTGCGAGCCATCTGGAGACCT